GTTGATTAAATTTAAATTTATTTGACTGGTTAAAGACTTGTAATGAAAGGTAGAATCTTTCACGGTACTATTTACACATTTTAGAAACCGTGCTGAATATGGTGGTTCGAAAATACATATGGAATTACAAACAAGATCCGTTCCATTTGCATTATTAGTACACGGCAAATCCACGTCTTTAAAACGTAAGTTAATCATACACGATGGACATGAGATAATGCGAAAAGAACATTGTTTGTAAACATTTTCCTAAGACAGTATAAATAGAAATATTTTTTAAAAAGTATAAACACATAAAAACAATTTTTATGCGTGCAGTATACTGATATGTATTTAATATATAATTACATTCAATTTTGAGTGATTATAAATATCGTTTTTAGCAAAAACGATTCCTCGAGATCCAATTGCAGTATAAACTGTTTTTTTATTGAATGGCTTACAAATGTCGAACCTTTTTATATTTAAAGAGAAATCAATAGATTGAAATATCGTCATCAATAAACAAACTGAAATTCATATAATATAATATTCAATAATAAAACTTTTTCCGCTTTTTTAGAAGAATAAGAAACTCATATTATGTTATATATATATATCTATGACATAACTATTTAACAAGGATAACTTTTTTAATGTATCAAAAATACTACAATTTTATTAAGGTTGTTGCTTATAATATATTTATATATGATAGGTATTTATGCGTTTGTAAATATCTATTAGTAAAATAATGTAAAAGAACATAACATAAATTTTAAAAAAATTACACCTACCTATATACATCAACTGATCCATTCTAGTCAACGTGGACGTGATTCTACTACCTATATACCTAGTCTTGTATTTAACAATACTACTATACAAACTGACACTTAGATAATAGACTGTATTAACCTAACAGATAGTATAAGGCTTCGACAATGTTGTTATGATAATTATATATAAAAGGTTTCTATAAGAAAAATGACCTTTATAACGACGCGTTATTGATCCTTCTACCAGTTCTATCTATACAGTAGTTTTTTTTATAATTCAATAGCAATAATAAACTTTTTATAATACAACTTTACTAATCAATAAACAAGTACTATTAGGTACTAACTAGTAACTATGTATTCATTTATATTTAATACAGATATAATTAATAATTATATAAATGTAAATGTATATTTACTATTTAATATGTTGACAATATCGTGAAATATCATAGGTAGTTTGTACAATTTTAACTATTATGATAATTGTGTTCATAAAAATACTAAAGGTAAAAGAATACATATTATATTTATGTTATTATTTTCACATTCAATAAGCATTTTGATTTTACAATTATATGTTTTGTTTATTACCTAAATCTACACGATATAAAGAAAAAAATGCTTTGATTCTCAATTTTAAAGGTATAGTTTCTATAGTATAGTAAATAGGATCTATTTGCCACTGAATATTTTAAAGATTAAAATTTCCAGCACTTATCAAAATAATTGGGGGAAAGTCAAAAACAAATAATCTTTGGTTCTGAAATTTTAAACAAGTATTAATATTGGCACGGTAAATGCTACACGACATGATAAAATTTTCAAATTGTTTTGAAAGATTTGTATTTTGTTAGATTCTGAGTTGAGCGATGAATGAATTGATTTTATAAAATGTATTTTTTGTATACATAACGTGACCATGTCTTGCTTTAGCCGGTAAAGTCCCACTTTCGATTTAAGTGTCCCACGCAGTTCTAAAAGAATGTAAAAATGTCCCGGTTTAAAATAAATGGTGATCTTCATTGCATTCTATTAAAAAAAATAATACATATTTAACTTTTTTTTTTTCCGTTTGAACCGACGACCGGGAGGGTACTGCTTTCGCATATTTAACTATCACAGCAGAATACGACTCTGGTATCTATATACGCGTATATACGACTATACATTTATACCATTTCTAATTATTATTTATTAATAATTTATCACTAATTTGTTTTATTCTATTTGATGTTTTACTACAATTATTACTATTATTATTATTTTATGTGAATATATATATAAAATTAGAAAAATCATATATTTTTTCTGTTTAAATTTACAGGAGTCTAAAGAAAATAATATATGGTCTCGTATCCAACATATAGGTACATTTAGAATATATGATTAATAGATAATTTTGTTTTAAACTTTGAGGGTAGTTTTGGATAGAAAAATAGATCTAGTTTCTTAATTAAAAAGATAAAAATTAAAAATTCATAGTATTTTTTAAAAAATAATCGGAAAAAAATTAAGGAAAATCAAAATTTTTACGCAAACTTAATTTTTGACAAAGTTGATTTTGTGTTTTTGTATAATTTAAATAAGTATTAACCATAGATTAGGATATTAAAAAAAAAATTTACTTAACATTTATTTAAAATTTTTACTTAATGTTTTTATAATTATTTTCTATTTACAATAAAATTTTCAAAATATTTCAACTATTTTTGAGGTATTTTTAGAGAAATAATTGATGTTTTTTAGTTTTTTTTTTTTCTATAAATATCGATTAAATAAATTATTCACTAAATAGGAATATCTTTGAAAATTTAATAATTCATAATTTCTATGAGATCCAATTTTTAACAAAATCAATTTTGTTTTTTTTTTTTGTATTACTCTAGACTTAACCCAACCCCCTCCAAGTGCGAATTCAGAACATATTTACGGGGAGGGAGAACTATCATGAATAAAATTTCAGCTTAAGTCTGATAAAAGCAATGTAAATACTATGTAATGTAATAGGTAAATATTATTATTTAAATTTCAGTTTTTTAATACAATAAAATAAATAAAAGATGAATAATTTTATTATAGATTAAATTAATTTTTCTTGAAATATAAAACATTGTACACAACAAAATAAACATATTAAATTAAAATTATCAGTGCTGTTTTTACATTTTTCTTTTAAATTAATAAATACATTATTTATTAATTTAGAAATCGAAAATTTATCTTGACTTTTTGATTGCAAAATTCTGCTTATTGGTGCAGTCATTGAAAATATATCGGACATAAGATTTAATGATAAAATAAATTCTGCAATTGACAAAGATTTTATTAACATAGACGCTTTTATAAAGACGTTTCAAGATCGTTCCATTCAGATAGTTTATATAATGCCTCAATAATTGAAAATAAATTCGAAGAAAACTGTATAATGAAATCATGCTTTTTGATTCACTAGTTTCGCATAAAGATTTTAAAAAATTATTTAAATTTTTTTTTTTTGCTGAAGTATTGAAAAACTTACTATTTACTCCTTTAATAATTCCAAATGCATTTTTAACAAATATTTGTTTACATCCTTTCATCATTGATAAATGTAGAACATGACTAAAACAAGAACATTTTAAAGCAAATTTCATTTGAGTTTGTAATAATTTAATTGTACCGCATTTTGAAGATTACATCATAGAACACCCATCTGTAGTTATTCGGTATCTATTCCTACACATTTGTTCATAGATAAAGCTAAATTGTTTAAAATATGTATTATAATACACGTACCACATTTGATGTTTATTATCGACAGTTTTAACTTAAATGGTTGTGGGCGTATCGTCAACTAAATGTATATATATTATTTACTAATAAATTATTATTACACAAAAAATATCATCAATATGTAAAAAAAAATTATTAAAAATAATATAATAAATAGGAACTACAAGCAACTAGAAATTTTATTGTGTCAAACAAGTTTAAATGTTCGATTAGATTAGACTATAGCTTTTTTACGGCGACTGATAAAAACGGACACAGCTGAAACGCTATCGGCAAAACAAAGCATTTTATTGACTGTCGAAAATAAACATAGTAAAAAATTCAGCAGAATCTATGAGCCGGGGACTATGGCCCCTTGCCCCCTTCCCAGCCAGAAAATATGTAAAATTTATTATTGTAAATTTTTCATGAATCCCTTCCTTCAAAATTTTGTTTGGTATACGAGTGCAACTATAATCTAAAAAGTGGTACATTGGGGATTTTTTTTTTTTATTTATATATTCATGATATTTTGTAAAGTTACAACTTCATTAGACAATGTTATAATTATCAACAAAATAAATACATTTTATCCCAATAATAAAGAATTTTTTTTAAGACTAGCTTCGTTGCCTTAAAAAGGAAGTTACCCAAATATTTGTCACAATGACTTATTAGTTATTAGCACACGAAAAAGTGAAAATGGATATTTACTAATTGAAATAAGTTTAACAACTTTTAATATAATAACTTTTTGCTAATAGTAGAAATTTAAAAACTAGTATTTATTTTCTAATTAAAATAATGAACAAAAAAATTAGATCTGTTCAAAAGATTGTACCCCACCTATTATGCTGTCTATTGACTCCATCTTACTATAGTTACTAGTAACATACTAAAATATACATTCAACAATAAGTTTTAATTTTATGTGTTTAGTTCAAGTATTACAGTAAATTAGTGAAATGACTTATCATCAAATTTAAATATAAGAACATTATCTATGTTCTATCATCAGTTTTTATACTTTAATTTTTGACCAATTTATGAATATTTTACATACTAATAACTTGCTTAAAATTTAAAAATTAAAATACTGTAAGAAACCCATGAGAAAATAGATAATATTCTTACCTTTAAGTTTGATTATAGTTAGTTACTTTATAATAGAAACTTCATTTTTTGGGTTTTCAATAAAAAACAATTTATAGAAGCAACTTTTTTTTCACAGCCTTCTGTCAATGCCATCAGTCTAGATCTGTTACTGTAAGTTCAGATAAAATATTTTTTATATTTTGCATATTCCCGTCTTTTCAACAGAATTCTGTCATTACTCATTAGATTACAATTATAAAACATAACCATTGAGAAAAACCATACATAAAAATATTATTTTGTCACAGGTTCATAAAGATATGGGACTTAAAAACATATATACAACAGTAATATATTTTAGTAAAGTATGTTATACATAATATATAGGCCAGGTTAACAAAACAAACACACATTAATATCGTAGAATTTGATACAAATGTGATCATATGATTTACATTTATACATACTTTTATTATCTAAATATTTGTTGAGTGTTGCAAACTCTCTAAATTACAATTATATGGGTAATACAACCAAAACAAAGTATGGAATAAAATACATATAATTCCAAAAAAAAAAAAATGTTATATTTTAAAATTCTTGATGATTATACAGTAGCAAATTCATTCAGCGAGTTCTAAATATTTTAACAGTAAATACAATGTACATTTTAAAATTCCATTTTAATATCTGAAATCAAATATTACATATAAATTAATACTTGTGAAACAAACAATGCATATTTTATTTATTGTTTTAAATTTTAAATAAAGTAATTAATTTATTGGGTTTTTTTTTCTATTATTATTTCTTTCGACACCTTTAGAAGCATTAAAAATCTTTTGTATAGTTTATAGTAATTAATTTGATCTAGTTGGTATTTTTTCCCTCAAAATATTCTTACAAATAGGAATTACATTATATATATATGTATTCAAAAAAATACAGTATACCTAGTCTACCAGCCCTGCTATTTTACTTAAAGTAAAATAAATAAATTTTAAAATATCCATAAAGGTATAAGCTGATACAAAATCTCTCAGAATCCTTTTTGTACATAATGATTTATCATTGAATTCAAATTTAACATGTTTACACTACAATGAACTGCTTAATGATGATATAGACTAGAAATCTACTTTATAGCAGAGCAACTTCAAGTTTTTTTATGATTGTATATCATAAAAATGATAATTAAATGCAGATATACTATACTCTGATCCACGAGAAGAGTTAATAGACTAGCAACTAAAACACATTTGATTTTACACATCTCCCACCCATTTGACATATCAATAATCTTCAAAAACAATCGTTAACTGTTGACAACACTGAATAGTATGCCAATACGTTTGTATACCATTAAATCTACACTTTTTTTTAATATTTGTTATATATTTTTTTTACTACTTCTAATTTTTCTAATTAATTATGTATATATTTTGAATTTTTCTTTTTAGCCATTAATTATTAATTGAATACAATTGTTTTTTTGTTTTTGTAGATATTGTTTTAAAATACATATTAAAATTAGCTTTGTATATCTATGTACTATTAAAAAATAAATATAGTTAAATTCCGTGCCTATTCAAAAGAAAAAATGATCTTGTCTGAATTTATGTATAGTAAATAGATGATAATTAGGGCCCAGAATTTAATGCGTTTACAAGAGGCTTTTCTTTACAGAATATAACTTATATTAAGTAAAATTCAATGAAATCATACTTATTTTAAATTTTTAGGCTATACAATCATTTTGGAGCATTTAAAAAAAATATATTTTCATTTTTTTTTTTTTTTTTAATATTATTTTGACAAAACTAAATAATTGAAAAAAACTTAAATATTGTATAACTCAATCCTTCAATTATTTTTTTCTAAAAATACCGATTTCTTTTTTACAATTATTTTGTATTACTAAAATTATTTCTTATTTCCATTTTAAATTTAATTAAAAAACAATGATTTTTTGATGATTTATTACTAAAAATTTTAAATAAAATGTAATTTTTGAAAACGTTATGTTATTTTTTGATGTTTATTTTTAATACTTTTTTTAAAAGATTTTTAGGTCATTAAGTTTTGGGCCCTAATGATAATACAAAACTCTGTAAGGTGTTTATCATTTATGAGGCTCTGTTTACACATTACATATTGATACATAGTGAGGAAAACAGTGCCACAGAAGTATAGAACAGTTGCTGCCATCAGTCTACATGCGCAAAAAGATATACTTTTCTCAAAAACCAGAGTATAATAAATTATTATAACTTACCACTCTGTTTTATTCTACTTCCTTTCCAAGTATTTTCTAAATTTCTTAAAAATTCTTCAAAGATATTGACGCTTTTTAATAATGATGTTTTTTTATAATCTTTCAAACGATTACTGCTCAAGTTTGCATCATTAATAATTTCTTTCTGTTTTTTGTCATATTCATTAATTTCATCAATTAGAACACTAAAATAAATATATAAATAAAATATAATAATAATAAAAATATATATAATACTATTTACTTAATTGTGGGTACAGTATTAGGGTTGAATTTTTCTATAACTTTTGGATTAATTGGTATACAAATTTTTCCAGTTTTTGGATGAACACAGAAAGGAGACTTCAACAAGTGATTTAATCCCTTTGTTACATTCACATCAAGTCTTGGATATGCCAAGAACAACAAAATATCTTCCACACAATATTTAGTTTTAAAATTTAATAACCCCTGTTAGAATAAAAGTAAATATAAGTGAGTTAAGGTAAAAATTATACATCATATTGCAGTAATAATTTGTAATTTTACCCTTTTATGGTTGTTATTAATAATAACAGTAAGTGCTTCCCATCGTTGTACACTACTTTGATACTTTGAAAATTGTAAATTAATTTGTTCCTTAATTTTTTCATCTGCTATAAATGACAAAATTTTATTGCACTGTTCTGTTGTTCCTAAGAAATCTTGTTCAGAAAGAAGCGAATTGAACTCTTCTTTTATAATGGAAATACTGCGCCTGTTGTTAGAGTTGAATTTTTTTATTCTTATTAAATAGAAAATATTAAAATTTAATTTTTTACAACTGACTTTACTGATGGATGATTTATATTACATCGTTTTGAATCACCAGCAGATAATAAAGCTAAATAATCAATGAATGAACCACGTTCAGAAGGTAAGAGTTTTCTTGCAGATTCGTCACATATCCAACAATGGATACCTCGGCGACCTGAAAATACCCAAAGCAAATGCTTCCATCCAAAATCATCCCGAATTGCTCGTTCCAATATTTTTACAGCAATAACCATAAATCTACAACAAAAATACAAAATTAAATATTTCCCAAAAATTTGAAAAAAAAAAACATTTATACACAACCTCCAACATTTTTGACACACTTCAGCGCCTGAACAACAAGTACGGATTTGATCATAATCAGTCATATCAATATCAATGACTAATTCTTTTTCAAGAGCATGAAACTGAGGATAATTTCGGCAGACTTTGGGACTACAAAAAAATATATATATAAAAATACAAATATATCATGATAAAATACTTGATAATAATCAAATTATGTAAACCTCATATTAAACACAGCTCCAATATCTATTTTAAAAGGACATTTATTTTGAATTTCTGTTTCCATTTCTTGCAGTGTGTTAAACGATTGATATCTAATATAAATATCTTCATGTAAGGTGAACGAAAATTCTCTATTAATAAAATTCTCTGGTTTTACTGAAAATAAAATTAAAGAGTATATTACAAGTTTCTTTAAAAATCTATATGTATACATATAACATAATCAGCAGTAATCTATTATTAGAGATCACTGAAACGAATGCAGCACCTCATCATATATATAATGATATCTATTAAAAATAACAATCCAACAGTGTTTTTATTAAGATATGAAATATATATTTTTTCTCATAATAGGTATACTGTAAACAGTATAATAGTTATGCTTATTCTTGATGAGTTATATAATGAAGTCACTATAACAAAATGACAATTTGAATTGTAGCATGTTATGTTATTGTCATTAACACTAATAAAAAATTGTATAATAGGCTTAGTAGTAAGTCCTAAGTACTAAACTTTGAAATTTTGGTACTAATAATCACAAATATATTGATGGTAAATAGTGAACTTAAACATCTAAAATAGTATCTGTCTGCGATTCACAGATGAGTGTTTTAAAAACAAGAAAAAAATAACTTTTTGATTGAAAAATATGGTTTTGGTTTATTTAAAAAAAAAAACTCACCGTTTCCGTAAGAAAGCCACTTGTGAAACTGCGAATATGGAAACAATTTCTTGTAGTAGACATTAAGGTAGTCAGGAAACTGATCGTCGGCCATGATTATTATATCGTTAACCGTAAATTGTCGTTTTATAATTTATAATTATTAGTACAGAGTATAGTAAGACTAGTGGAGGGAAACTATAGCTATACTTGCAGCTTGCTTTTAATTTAATTTGAAATGATTATCATTAATTTATTGACGACTGTTGGACAATAACGTTAATTCATAACAGCCGTCTAACACCGAAACATTAATTTAGAAGACGTGAGTCGCGACACGCAAGAAATGAACAGATGAAGTGAATGAGCAATTTCAGCGATGTGCCGATGTCCATTATTATATTTTATTGTTTTATAGCTTTGCGCGTCTCGTATTCGACGATATGATAATAATGAAAAGGCGGGAAAATGCAATCACAAATGTTTCGTATTTTCGAATGTCTTTGTGCGGTCGACAATCGCTTCTATAGCGTCCCATTTCCAAGGTCTCGACGACCCACCGATGACGTCATTGGATTTTTATTTACGTGTTCCCAGTGTGTCTCACTGTCATGTTGTTCACTTGTTCGGCCTCTGCGCTTAGTTGGAAATTTTCTTCATAAATTCACAGACCTTAGTTCGCGCTTCGACTTATATTTTACGAGTAACGATTATACAACACAGTAATATAAAAGGGAATCTTACAAATCGGCGATTTTCAACGCGATACGAGTTGTCGTATTCACTTTTGTCAAAAGAGTAGATCGCGAGATCTTATTTATTTCATCTCGATCGTGGTTCTCGCATCCTACTGGTAACCGGACCGGACGTATCTGCCTATAAATAAACACGCACGCAGAACTGAACATGTCTACCACGACGTTCCGTTCGTTCGCCCGTTCATTTGGGTCGAAAATGTAAGTTCGCCGATACGAAATAATTCTGATGCACATTATGTGTATCGACTTTGGTTATTATTATTATTATTATTTTTTTTTAAATACTCAGCGGAATAAAATTCAGCGCAATATGTTTCGTCAACTGGATATTTTCGTTTATCATTTATATAAATTATCGATTATCAACGAAAGCTATGATGCGGTCGGTATCATTAATAATGAATACGCCATTTTTTTGTTATTGTACCTAATACAGAGGAAAAAGGGTATATTATAATTTATAACATACAATATGTTTCAAACACCAAACTTCTCTCAATCGTTCAGTTATATTTTAAATGTCATGTTATCCTTGGAAGTTGGAAACGACAAAAAAATAATAATAATAATACTCATTGCGGTTGCAAATAATAACGTAATACCACTTAATATTAAAATTCCAATGACATACTAATTATCTAGTATGCTAATTACAATTTTATGTTGGTATTAAATTTATGAATTATTCAGTTCATTAAATGTTAATCACATACCTTTATTAGTTTTTATTGATAGGCATTTTTTGTAAAACATCTTAAATAAATTTAATTCTTTTATTTAATTTGTTAATTTTAATGCTTGATATCTGAGTATTTGTTCAATGATATTTGATGATGTGTTTTTTTAACAAATTAAGAATACCTACTTATTTTTTTCGCTGCTGCACCACCTATAAAATCCAAGTTTTGGATTTCCATTTTTTTTATTTTTAAATATTTGAGTAGTTTTTAACTAAGCTTAGAAATAATATATTTAAATTGATAATGCTGATTCTAAATTGTATATATATATATTTATTTAATAATTAACTAAACTGTAGTGGATTATGGGCCCCTATATTGTATATGGATCATTAGTTAACTATTGGTTCATTGAATGTTTACGTAACTCATCATGAATGTTTTATGATTAAACTCTGTGACAATTTCAGCAAAATAAATTGTGTTTTTTCATCATACTAAGCATAATATGTTATTAGACATTCTTCAACTCTTCAACATTAAGTATTACCTATTGAGTACATTTATGTTTCTTTCTAAATAAATATTGTATAAAAACTAATAAAAGATAAGTAGATAATAAAACTTTAATAAATATTTAGTTAATAATAATTATCTTATTAAGAATAATAAATATTTTTTATATCTTGTAATATTATTTTATTATGGTGTATGTCAGATAAAAATATTAATCTTGTTTTATATATATTAGTGGAAGACTTAAAAATAGTATCTCTGAGATATTGCCTTTAAATGTAGATATAGTTACAATTTTCACATAAAAACAATTGTATTTATTCACTATTCTTCAAGTTTCTTAGCTAATGTTTCAATGTAGCAATACAAATTTGAATTACTTAGTTTTTTTATTTTATTGCATTTAATTAATAACTAATTTTATATTTGGTAAAAGAATAAATACCATACATAGTTACACATTTAAAAAACATACTAATTCCGTTGGATTGTTTTACCTGTAATAACATTTTAAACATTATCTTTTTTAGTGAAAAACCGGTACGTACACATTTAGTCAATGTGTATGCCTGTTTGACGGTATCCATGATAGCAGCTGCAGTTGGAGCTTATGTCCATGTTTTCACAAACTTTCTAAGTGCTGGATTATTTACAACTCTGGGTGCTACTGGATTACTACTAGCACTTATGTACACACAAGATAATGGAAAAAATCGTTCTCTTAGAATAAGTTATTTGATTGGATTTACTTTCTTCACTGGTTAGTTTTCATAAACAACATTTGTAACTTAATATTATAATTTATTTGTTTGGAACATTGTGTGTTATAGGCCTTGGAATTGGTCCGGTTTTAGAATATGTTATCCATGTGGACCCCAGTATCATACCAACAGCATTTTTGGCATCTACATTGGTGTTCACATCATTCAGCTTGTCTGCCATTTTTGCTGAACGTGGAAAATGGCTCTACCTAGGTGGTACTTTAATGTCATTGCTGTCTGTTTTGATGTGTTTGTCTCTGGCTAATTTATTCCTTGGTTCAGAGCTTATATTCAAAGTATGTTTATAATATCATATGTATCATCAACTGTTTTACTGTTTTGCTTATTTATTTTAATTCCTAATTAATTGATGTATATTTTAGAGTTATCTTTACCTCGGTCTTGCGCTTATGAGTGGTTTTGTTTTGTACGATACTCAGTTAATTATGGAAAAAAGAAGAGCAGGAGACAAGGATTTCATTGCTCACTCTGTTGATCTTTTCGTGGACTTTATTGGAATTTTCAGACGGCTGCTTATTATTTTAGCACAAAAGGTGAAAAATAAATATTAATAAATACAAAATAGGCTTGGCATGGCGCATTAGCTGCTACTAGTCACGAAATGCGACTGAGAGTAAGTAACGGCCACAGTTACTAGCTCCCGGGTGGATAACCACCCGGGATCATAGTGGTTAAAAACTTTGCCACACATACACGCGTTTACTATCAACTGTAACAATCATAAAAAAACAACCTACCGTGTCAACCTTATCCCTATCACAGTTCATAACCCCTAAACCCCTACAACAGCTAATGGCCTTAGTCGCCAAAGCTTAAATTCAATAAAAAAAAGAATATTTCAATTAAAAATATTTTCTGTTATATAGGAACAAGGATCGAAGAAGCGCAAAGACTGAATGGAAACACATCCTTTTTTAAAAAAAATAATTATTGTAATTACCAACTAAATATCAACTGTGTACACACTACCAACTATTTAAAATTAAATTTAAGAGTAAAAATAATAATAGTGGGTTTTTGTTTTTAGTTTGATAATATCTTTACGTATATGTCTACTCTGTAAGTCATATGATTTAAGTTATAGTTTAGACCGTCTAAAGGTTAACTTACCTAATATCATAATTGTTCTTTTGGTATAGGCATTTAGATATGTTGAATCATTTAATAGAATTATATTTTTAATTTATCACAATGGTTTTTTTTTTATATTGAAAGAATAATAAATTTGTTACTTAACTGATTATGACACTATTTCGTTATCCATATGGATCTCCTTTTCAAATATAACATCCTTACAATTATTAATTTCTCTGAGAATCATAAAATTAATTTTAGTTTAAATTTAACTCAAAACCATAATTGAAGTGCTACTAACTATAAAAATGTGTAAACAACATAATTTTTTTTTTTTTTGTATAACCTAGATTAATCTGTGTTCTAAAATTTGGGGAACTTATTATGCTATGTAGTAGGTGTTGAATACATCTCATTATTTAGTGTAGGGGTTGACAATCTTTTTAACTATGTGGGCCTTTTTTTTTTCAATTGTTCATCGAGGGCCACATTAAAAAAAAAATACATATGATATAATACTTATAATTATTGTATTACTATTATAAAACGGTTAGATTAGATTTTATTTATAAAGGAAAAAGAGTTATATAATATTGAAAATTATATGAAAAATATTATTGAACAAAAATGAACCACCTTTGTGCAGACCATCAAAAATTGCTTTATGGGCTGTTGGTTCCCGATCCCTAGTTAAGTGGGTTACTGTAACGGATATATTAAATTTAAATTCAATGATACATCATTGCATACAAAAAACATTTTTTAAGCGATGACAATCTGTCAATCTATATATTTTTAAGGTTCTTTTGTGCTGCTACTTGAATTTATTTTTCTATCACTAAATGTATATATATATATATATATAAAAGAGTTGAAAAAATTGCTTATATATAATATCATTAGCTGTTATAAACTTATTAAGTCAATACCAATGAACAGTATAAGGATGTAAATTTATTTGTAGCATAAATAACTAAAAAATAATCTAAATATCATTGTATATAATAAATACTAAATAATACATATTGTTATGTTGAAAACTATAAGGTGCTATAATATTTTTACAACCAATTTATTGAAATTTAAACATCAAATGCATAGAAAATAAATTTGTGCCTGGAAACATTAATTGTTAAAGTTTCCATAAGAACAATTTACTTGAGACCTTGTATTAAATTTTAAATTACTTGATATTTTTAATATGGATATCAACAAAAAATAAATTTAAAAATGGAGGGAAGAAGGTAATCGCTCCATTATAAAGTATGTGTCGAACTGTTAAATGAATGTTTTCATTGAAGAATAATAAGTAATATGTTATGTGTTAAAATTTAATTTTTATGTAAATAATTAGCTTATTACCTCAAATAATATCAAGGACCAATAATAACACTAACGTGGCCATTATTATAGAAAAGCTATAAGTTAAGACAACAACCACTAGCCACTATGTTATAATTTACACATTTTTCATTATGTAATATGACATATAGGTACACACAACAATATTCCTTTTCCTTTTTTCCACCTAGTTATTCTAGATGGCTGTCAAAGACCGGTGATGTGAATTTTTTGTTCACAATTTTCTTCTATAAAAATGTTTGAGTATAAATAACAATAAATTCACTATGCTCAGACTCTACAAGCCTTTTCTTGTAGTTAGTGACTCGTTTGACAAATACTCTATCAATTATTGATACGCATGACGTCTCAGCAAAAAATAATTTCAGCTTAAATGTTACTATCTGTCTCAAGTGGTGTATTTTATAATTTGTTAATATTGCTGTTCTTTATCTCTAACTTTCAAGACCATTAAGGCTCATCACTCCTCCACAAAACCTCTTTCAATTTCTTTTAGGATATCAGAAAATTACGTTATTGCATTAATTTCTAGTTTTATGTTGTGGACGTGATTTTTCACGGCAATAACTGTGGCTTATTTATTTAAAACTTTCTACTTTTTCAAAATAATATTCTACTTGAATAACAAATATTTTAGCCTAATTGATCACTTCCCATAATCATTACCATATATTTAGTTTATCCTTTGTATATACATGCCTATTACCTAGTCATATTTGTAGCGCTCTAGTCTCCTTTTTATTTTAAAGAATATTTATTATTTTTGAATTAGTACTAACTAGTGTCAAGTATCAACAAAAGCGCCAAAAGCTAATACGAAGACAACTTTTTTTAGATTTAAATTAACACAACTAGCTGTTTTTTAAGCTTTTCTAACAAATTCCTTGGTGGAAATGTTAAATCGTGTTGGTTATGGCGCATTTCCTTGAATTAAGGCCTACTGTCATCTCAAATTTTTTTGAAAAAATATTTTCACAATTGACTTGATTCCTAAATCTAAGATGTACTATACTATTTTTGATGACATATGGAACTCTTTCATATTTTTTCATAGTAATTTTATTTTAACAGAATCATATATTTTATGGTTTTTTAAGTTTTCTTATTTCATTAGCATTTCTGAAGATATTGTAAAATAACTCTGAAATGGAGAGAACACATCACTTCGGCAATTTTGGATCATAATTATTAATATTAGGGAAAAGTTATTTAATCATAGCAATGAACAGAGGATAAATAGAAATGAATTTAACAACAAAATGAAATGAATTATCGATGTTATTATTTAAAAGTTACAAAAAATAATATCAGTATCTATATAATACTCAATACAAGTAATTTTATTATGAAAAATGAGGTTGAGGTCACACATGTCACTCTAAACAATGAAAAAAATTATGATATTCATTCAATTTAAAATAAAAAACAATACATGGTTACAGAAATCGTGTTCATCACATTTATATGATAACCTTATTATTTATTTACATAAAAGAAAAACTAATAATAATTAATGAACTTCTTGACTTCTGCAATTTACTACCTAGTAAAGTTTTATCTAACTAAAATTACACAAAGCATATTTCGTCAATAAGAGAATGTATAAAAAAAAATTAGATTGCTAAAAATATTTAGTTTTTATTTATAATTATTAATAATTAGTATGGACGGTTTCTGTCTCCTCTTCTATCACTAAAAAAAAAAAAAAAAATTAAATTATTTTAATAAATTTACATATTTATAATTAATTAATATAAACTTACTCTCGCATTGGTCCACCACCTCGTCCTCCACCTCCACGTCCACCAGGTCCTCCTCTGCCTCCGCCAAAACCTCTACCTCCACCACCGCCGCCAAGTCCACCACGGCCACCTCCCATACCAGGACCACCACGACCACCTCCCATACCACCTCCACGTCCGCGCATGGGTGGTCCACCACGTCCACCACCCATACCACCTCCTCGTCTGCCTCCACTATCACCAAATCCTTCAGGTCTTGGATCATTACATCTGTTACAGTTAAGACGCCAAGAGAAGTTTGTGTTGGCACAAGTTGGATTTGAACATTTCCAGTCTCCATCACGGCCACCAGAATCATTTCCACCACCACGGCCACCACCTCTGCCACCTCCACCGCCCATACGGTCATCTCTTCTACGGTCTGGGGGCGGTCCACGATCATCTCTACCGCCACCACGACCTCTGCCACCGCCTCTTCCACCTAAAAAAAAAAAAGGAACATTCATTGTTAACATTTTTTTTATCTTATTTTAATGTAAATACAAATTATTACCTCTAGGACCACCATAGAATCCACCGCCTCCTTCTGATGGATCGTCCGATACAGGATCATCCATTTGATAACCACCACCGCCATATCCTCCACGTCCACCACCACCTCTACCCATACCACGGCTACTTCCAGTTGAACCCCCGCCACGTCCACCTTGCCAATTATCTCTCTTTGTTGCTAATTGGACATTAATTGTAGATCCATTGAACGACTTACCTAAATATTCAAGTAATTGGTTTAATATTTAATTTAGTAAATAATTTTTTTAACAATAGTTGTTACAAACCATTAAACCAGGATATAGCACTATTTGCAGAATGAGCATCATCATAAGTAACAGTTGCTTCACCTTTAGGTCTTCCAGTTGATTTATCATTGTACATCCAAATTTTGGGCTTTCCAGTTTTTTTATCAGTCTAATAATAAAATACGATTTAACTTTAAAATGAAAAAATAAGAGTTATGTACATAATAAGGGTTATAAATAATACCTTGATAATGCCAATCGAACCAAAGTGTTGTTCAATATCAGCTTCAGAAGTGTTTGTAGACATACCAGAAACAAATATTGTGTCCTCTTGGACGATGAAGTCACCACTGCGATCATTAGGTGGTCCTCCACCACCTAGACAAAACAAAAACCAGAATTAACAAGTAATATTAACATAACAAACATCAATAATAAATAGTAAAACCAAGACAATCAGATACTTCTGTAAACCATGAAAATATGACTTTAATATTAATGTACAATACACTATTGTATTAATTAAACAAAATTTCAACTTTAGACTTATCTTCAAAAATGTATGAAAACAAAATAACTTCCAATTATTGTCGAGTTTCAAATAATTTAAATATTAAGCAATTTTAAAACACTTTTATAGAGATTTAGATAATAGAAAATACTTTTATTATACTAACTGAATTGAAAAAAAACCATGGAACACATACTTCATTATATACTTGTAATTATTAGGAATACAATTTTGTTTACTACAAATCAATAAAACTGCATCTGGCAGTTTGAGTGGCGTGCATTATTGAGGCGCAGTTAACACATTTAACCAATACACACTCTTCTATTAAGGATAAATGTTAGCTTAATATTAACAACTTTTAGTGGCAACCTAACTTATGAATAAAATAACCATTTGGTGTGCCAAAGAAAATTTTAACACCAACCCAAAAAGCATGGCAAACAAACTATATATTTATATAATGGTTTTACCATAATTACTACATCATGTATGTCATTATAGACATAACTCATAAC